CGACTCCAAGAATCAAGACGCCGATAGAACCCTGCAAGAGTTACGAGAAACAGCAATTGCAGGCCCTACATACTGCAGGATCAAGAATTGTGTAACCACTAACCATTATGACCTACACAATTCGTTACTCCCTTACTGGAAGCTTCGAAACAGCCTTTCTGTCGATGGGGAACTTGTCTTGTATGGCCAAAGAATTGTGATACCGACCGCCTACCGTCGGCACACACTCGCTCGCCTACACAACAGTCACCGTGGGGTGGAAGCGACGAAACGCAGGGCATGTCAGATAGTATTTTGGCCTGGGATCGATGCTGACATCACCAGCACAGTTCAAGCCTGCCACCCATGTCAGGTCATGCAACCCAGCCAACAGTAAGAGACCATGCAAAACGATGATAACCCTGCCTTTTGAGTTTGTGTCCGCCGACTTCTTCACAGTTGCTGGGAAGTCTTTCCTGGTAATTGCGGATCGACTCTCCGGCTGGCCCACCATCATTCCCTGTGGTGCCTCGTCTACAGCATCACGCACCACACGCATGTTCTGCTGTTACTTCAGGGACGTTGGTGTTCCCCTCCGCTTGAAGACTGATGGAGGACCCCAGTTCCAAAACTTCATGAAACGATGGGGCATACCACGTGGTGTCCTCACCACATTACCCCCAGTCGAACGGACACGCCGAGGCGGCCATCAAGTCAGCAAAATACCTCATCATGAAGATGGCGCCCTCTGGCAACTTGGACAACGAAGACTTCGATAGAGGCCTCCTTGAGCTGCGCAACACCCCTAATGTCACAGGAAGGTCTCCCGCGCAGATACTCTACGGCCGCCCACTCCGCTCCTGTGTTGCTGCCCATCCAGAGTCCTTATCGCAGGAATGGAAAGAGAAGTCAGAAAACTACGATCGCCGAACTGCCGACCGGTTCGGCGCGTTAACAATTGTGCCACGGCGGTGACTTCCCCTACGACACCTGCGTTTGACTTCTCAAGGCGTTACGTCAACAGTTATAGCGCAGGTATTTTTACAACCGCCGCGACGGGGAATTGAACTCAGGACCACGAGGGTCGGAGTCGAGTGCTCTAACCACTGGACCATCGCGGCAGTCATATATATATATATATATATATATATATATATATATATATATATATATATATATATACATATATATTTATTTATACATATATATACACATTCATATATGCATTCAAATATGCATACATACAACACACACACACACACATATATATGTATACATATATTTATATATATATATTTATATATATATTTATATATATGTATATATAAAATTTTATATATATGTAGAAATATGTATATTTATGTATATATAGATATAAATAAACATTTATGTACATATATATAAATATGAATATATATATATACATATATGTATACGCATATGTATATGTATATATATGTATATGTATATAAATACCCCCCCCCCCCCACACACACATGTATATATATATATATGTATGTATATATATATATATATATATATATATATATATATATATATATATATATATATATATATATATATATATATATATATATATATATATTTATATATATATATGTATGTGTGTGTTTGTGAGTCTGTGTGTGCGTTTGTATAAATATATATGCATATATATATGTACATATATATATATGTACATATATGTATATATAGATAGATAGACAGATAGATATACGAATACATATACATATGTACAATATATATGCATGCGTACATACATACAGAATGTTTCTTGACAGCATGCATAGCACTAGCAGGTGAGTCTTTATCTGTATTCCTATATTGGATGCATGTAAGTAATTCATTCCCGAAGCATCAGACGGCGCCTTAGCCTCTCGGCAGACGCCACCGCGCAGATGACTGCGACGAGCGCTGACCTGCTTGCGTCGCCATCCGCGCGACGGCCGCGCACCTCGAGGGCCGGACCGAGACGCCAGGAACACACGAGAGTAGAAACCGAATCTTATAGACGGGTCTCACTCTTCTAGGACAGCAAACCATATGGCAGCAGTTTCTGGACGAAGGCGATGTGAGTGACAATGAAATTAAATAGCAATTGAATTCGATAGCAATCCCTGTTTGTCAAAATGTGAACATTACATGAATTCTTGAAATGTGCTGTATTCTGGGATCAGACATTATTTACTATAGAATCCTACTGAGTCGTCATGTCATCAATAACATTCACAATTAGACAATCACAATTATAACAACTATCATTATAACCTTATGAATATTGCCACTACCATTGCCATTATCATCACTGTTCATTACGTTCATCATCACTATTGTAAGAACAATTTCCTATTACTAGTAGAAGTGGCATAACTACTACCACTACTACTTCTACAACTATCAATATTAAGACAATAATAGTAATAGCGATAATAGTAATACTAAATAATAGTGATAATAATAACGATAATAATAATCATAATAATGATGATGATGATAACTAAAAGAACAATTAACAAAAATTATAATGATACTAAAAAGATGATGAAATTGAAGATGATAATGATAATGGTGATGATGATTATGATGATGATGAAAATGGCAATTATAATAATAATGATACTAGTAATTTGATTATAATGATGATAATGGT